TAAATCAGTTTAACTTATATATATAGTTTGTTTAAATTTAAATAGTGTTATTCTCCTAAAAAACCTTCCAAATGGACTTGAACAGCGCAAAGAAACAGTCATGTCCGTCAGATCCTTTTCATGACCAGACATTGTTTTTTTTGTATCAAAAGTGTGGTATAAATCAATTTATTTCACGTAAGAAAGCACATTCTTATATTAAAACGTTTATATTTAACATTGTTGAATTTTACGTCAAATAAAGACTTGAAACAAAATTCTAGATTTATAGTTCTCTATGGAAAAGCGACAATTGTTTTATTACACAATGTGGATCACCTCGGATCAAGTGGCGGTCCAATATTTGGGCAGCACTTGGCCAAGAGTGAGCGATGGTCGAGGCTCTGATAAATGAAATTTTACTTCGCCAGATTTCGTACATTCACGGCTTTAGGTTTTAATAAAAGCCTTTCAGGTAGAAATACTTAGGTATGTATTGTATTTAATAATCCATGTTTGGTCAGATTTCTTTTTATTTTCTACAACTGCATATATGTAGGCTCATAATTAAATGTGTTTTTTGAACGGATTCGTTTTTTAAATATTAACTAAGTTGTATTTACGAATTCTAACCAAACCATCAATTAAACATATATTAGCGACCCACTATATTGATTTACTTTGCTTTATTATGTAAAATAAAATATGCTTATTATTATCTGTAGTTAGCGAGTAGTACACATTTAAATAAAACACAAAACCCCAACCAACCGTGGTGACCACTACTTCAAACCGGAACGTCGATGTAAAATAAATTATAAATATGTTCTGTTAATATAGATTGATAATTTAGATTACATAGATACTTAAATACTGTCTGTAGTTTACAAGAGTAGTAAACTTTTCAATACAACACTACACACAATGTGATTACTTTATATGATTTTTAAAACTTTGCAGTGACAACTGAGTATTATCGCAAGTATTATTTTATCAATACTCGACGTGTGCGCCTACACATTACAATAAATAGATTTCGATCTTTTTTTTATTTAAAAAAGTATAATTTTCAAGACAATAGACCCCTTGTATCCTTTACAGTCACGGCCAGGTGACAGATCGTTAGTTCTTTTCTAGAACTTTCGTAAAGGGATTCACATAATTGAATGAGAATTTAAGGGAATTGTCGGTTAACGAGCGAAGTTTCTACCGCAATGGATGTAATTAATTGAGAACTTTTTTAACTTTGTCACAGTTCGCGACTTAGTTGAATTCCAAATACCTCGGAAACTTTTTACGAAGACCTAAGCGCCCTTTTGAGGGACGCGGCCTGTCCGTTACAACCACGGTCAATTTTGTATATACGTCATATTCAAAGTATGGTGTGTGCTGTGGCCGCAACTTATCAAAATCTACTTTATAATATTGATAAATACACTGTCAATTGTCTTTCTATAAACTTCTCTTAAATTAAAAATCGATTATACCTATTGAAATAAATTACTTGAACCGGTATCCACAGCGTTCCGTGCTGTTGCTTCAAACCAATTGAGCTACTGAATCCAGCTTCTCTTTCCAAATGTTTCGTCGTTTGCCAATTATTATAATTTATATAAAAGTTATATAAGAAACTATAAGTTGTGTAAACTATAAAGTGTGATCAACAAATTGGACAGTCACATATTTGACATGGTAGCTCAATTAGTAGTGCATTGGCAGGATACATGTTTGGTTGTGAATTTTGTGAAAATATAATTTTTTTATTCATTTTTAAACTTATAATAAGTTTCTTTGTGAATAGACACGAGAAAATTAAACTGATTTAATTGTTATTAATTTATTACAAATATTATCTCGATAAATGAAATACGACCAACGATTACTTATTGTGAATGTACCGCAAATACATTATCAACCCTTTTCTTTAAAAGCGGAGAAATAAGATTTTCCACCTGCCCTTTAGAAACGAGCAAGGGATAAGCTAATTAGTCATTATGATTAAGCCATTCTTGCGTCGAGATTTTTACGAAAATTTTCACAGGCAGCCATTCTGAATAATGGGGATACGTCCGCCACAATGCCAGTAATTAAACAGATAATTTAACTTTTAATTGTGGATTACGAAAGCTTGAGTGCAAAGGACCCGCGCTGCAATTGTTGGGAGAGATTATTGTCGCGAATCGAGAACGATATATTGGAAGATGTATCCTTGCCGCGAACAAACGTTTTGTAAACGTTGTGCACGTATGTTTGTACTAAGCTGGTACTATGTTTTTTTAATTTACTTTCTTGTAAAATTTCTGACCCATAAGTGTTTTAGAGTTATTTCCGGTTGAAGTGTATAGTATTAACGTTACCTTGGCAGTTAGCCAGGATAGGCTTTAGGCCCCCATCTAAATTCTAGCCGATATTTAATTTTTGTGATATGCGATATCGCTGTCATTGTCAGCCATCCCACCGGAACGAGCTCGTGCATGAGAATAATAAATAAGGAGCTAAACTTGTAAAAAGTGCTCAAAAGTTTTACACGAATCCGAAATATCTCAGAACTCACTAAGTTCTCGTTTGCTCTTTTGAAAATCGTGATTGTTTTAATAAATAGAAGGTTCATATCATACAAAGGAAATGAAATAAGTAAATATAAGGATAGTACATATTTAATAAAACATTGAACGGTTTAAAACGCAAAATGTATTACTATAACTCATTTAAAATTTATCATAGTATGGCTCGACGTTTCGGATGCTTTACAGCAATCGTGGTCTCCCCGTACAATTTTAACTTTTAGAGGAGTTTAAATATAGGTATTTAATTACGATTAAAAAATTACGATATTATAATTAGTACGTTCTGAGCTACGAGTCAACAGAGCGTCAGCATGGCGCGTTGTTTGTCGCTTCAAATTGCGAATTATCAATTGAAACGAATTCTGAGATCTCAAAATGCTAAAAATCTATTTGCTAGTTAAAAATTATTACGAAGGTACTTTTTTTTATTTAACTTATTTATATTCATAAATCTTATACCTATATACTTCCACTTATAGCTTCAGTGATTAAGCTATTGTTTCAACACAGTGACAAATATAGGGCGCTGTCTGGCGCAGTTAAATTACCCAAAAGAAATGGTATATATTACATAAATATTTTTAATGAATATATATTTGTAGGCATTGCCAAAATGCCCAAAAAAAACTAAGTCATTACCTGTAGTTTATGCAAATAGTACACATTTAAATACAACACTTGAACGATTTAAAGCTGACATGTTTTCATTTCGCATCCGTTCTTAGCAGCCATGGTCACGAGGAAGGAGTCCCTTACTTGTTAAAATATGTTAAGTGATACTGGTCTCGTTTTAAACCGTTAAAAAGGATTTTTTTTAAACCAAAGAATTACTCCATTATCATATACTGCATAAACAAATAATTTGATTTGTGTAATAATTTTGATTTGTCCATAAAAAAATTAGCAGCACCAACAATCGCTGTAACTGTATTACCTAACATAATCACAGTTCGAGGATGAACATAGACAATGTAAATACGACAATAGGACGCGAAGGCTGGTTAGACTCATATCAGTGGCGTGCCACCCGCGAGATAACCGAACGCCGTCTTTGTATACAATTGTAAAATTATTAAGCTGTGGAATTCCTTGGGGCGGGGTTCCTGCCGCAATATCAGGAATTCATTATGACATTACATGCGGAACATCTTAAATCATTATTTTATCGTTCATTAAGTTATTACTATGACAAAAAGTTATGTACTACGCAGTGACATAGTAGCTCAAAACCGCCCGTATCATAGTTAATTTAAATTTATCCTACTTTTCATTCTGTGGTGGTTAAACGTGTTTTATAGGAATAGGTTTAGTACTTAGTAGTAGTTACTTCAGTTGGATTGAATTGATTGGATTGAAGACTCACAAATATACCACACGTAACAGAATATATACCCATAAGTGTATTTGCATAATCGTAAAGAAACTTACAGTAATATTTAAAAAAAAACTTAATTTAAGATTGAAAAAAAAATTACGACACGGCATTTAAACTGGCATCAATAACGTCCTTTAACAGTTAGACACGGTAGCTTGCTTGGTTAGAGTCTATCTAATTGAGCTACCGTGTCAATATATGTATATGCATAATTCTAAAAAAGTTTGTTATATCTCGGTCAGAGTAACACCAGGAATGACCCCTTTGTATTTCATATTTAACACGGGTCCCTCTTGTCAATAATAACGATTGATTTCAGAGTCGCAGCTCACGGCGTCGCCTCTTCTGCTCACTCGGAAACATTTATTTTACACTCGTTCATTTTTATTAATGTTCGCGTTTTTAAACGTCCGCTCACCTATTTTTCGTCGGGGAATTTTTCCGTGCATATTTCAAGGGGAATTAAATTGTTCGAAAGTTTGTTGGACAGTTTGTCGAATGAGAATAATCGAGTGACAGTTCACGTTAGTCTATGGATGGCGCGGAATGTGAATCGTATTTGAGCGGGATAAAGTTGCAAAGGAGCATTGAATTTTACTATGGAGAATTTCGACAGGCTTGTTGATGTAATGGCAGCAATGCTTATAATCAACGGGTCATGGATTCGATCTCCACTGGGGCTGACAATTTTCTAAAAAAATATATCTTTTTTGAAACATTTTGGATTACGTATGGTATGCTACGGGTGGTATAAAAATCCTGAATTCCTAATAAAAAAAAAACCACCGATTGTGAAGTTCCGAATATCTAAAGCCAAAATAATTAGATTGCGTAACTTGCTTTATATCATGACCAAGTAAATTAACAATCGAGTTTAGATTGGCAATATTGGCAGGACTTGAACTGAAATCCACAGCGTTCAGTGCTGTTGTTTTACCAATTGAGCTACCGTGCTTATCAATGTATCCGTCTCATCAAAGCTTGTCTTTAAAAAATGAATAGACGTCTCGGAAAGCCAATCCCGTAAATCTCTATTTGTCGCAACTAAAACAGGTCACGGCGGAAGGCTATTACGTTCCCTAAATGCTGCCGAACTCCCTGTAGAGCGCTCTAATCCACTCCGAACGGGCTGGTGTCAAACGCAGGGCAGGGCTGTTTGTATTGTTTATTGTCGCGGCGAACGTTCCTCCAAAGACAGCGCCGCATGTTCTGAGAGCGAACGCGTTTAAATCGATTCTCCCAAATGGCATAGCGGGCGAAATTTTATTATACGATTCGCCGCTCATTACTTAACTTAAGCCTTTGAGAAACCATAAGTTTTAACCGACTTCAAATAAAGGAGGTTTTTATTCCAATTTTTGATATTATAGAAAAGTAGTTGTAACATTTACTTGGCACAGATCGTATAAAATATTTTTTGCTAAATAACTAAATTGGAAAATGTATTTGTTTTTTTTTTGATTCACTGTTTTAATGAGTCTTTTTATAGAACTCAATTTTTCTTCTCATTTAAGCCTTTGTAAATTTAATGAAACATAGCTAATTCATGTTCAAATATACTTTCTTAATATTTCAAGAAAACACCTTTACAACTGTTTAAAAAACGAAAATTATTACTTAAACCTAAATAATTTACAAATAATAGTAGTTAAACTTATATGCAAATCATTTCTACTTATACGTAGTTAAAGCCGAGACGTAGTTGAAATCATTTGTATTTACAAATGATTTCAACAAAGTTTTGCCTAGTATTACCTGAGACGTCTTAGGCTTCAATCCGAAACATAGTATATACTTTCGGTCAGACAGGGCGCGACATAATATAAAATATAAACTAAAACACATACCCAACCTAAGCATTTAAAACGCGAAAGTTAATTAAAAATAAAGAGAATAATCTCACTATATACAACACAATTCCGACATATCTTTCAGAATTTCCGCCCCGTTAATTCAAATAATTTTAATCAAAATATGTATTCATACGTTCTTTAAATGTTTATAAAAGAATGTGATGAGGCAAACAGAACAAAACACTTGAAACAATACACCGACAAAAAGGCAATCATTCCTGTTTTATCACAGTTTGTTCACGCCACGCGCGGAAACTGTTGTAATAAAAAACTACAGTGTATCAACAGTACAGTACTGTATTACGTAAATGCATGTAATGTACACAAACACAGTATGACCTGTTACTACTAAAATATAATAACTTAGTATGTAAAAGTTACGTAGTAGGTAAATATTTAGTCTAGCACAACGTTCAGCGTGAGAACATTTGGGGTAACATAAAAAGTTTCGGTCGGGCAGGGCAGAGGAATCTTTAAAACGAACTGACAAATGACTGTGCTATATTGAGCAACTGATTGAAAAAACATTTGTATTTGAAAACATTTTAAAAGATGTTATCGATCAAAGATTTCGATTTGCAGTTCGTAGAGGTTATTATAGACGTAGCTACGTTGGTGCTACGTCTGGTCTACGCGTTATCTACAGTATTTCAATTTCCAATCTGTATGGCATGGCGCAAATATTTTTTTGGGTCCGTTTCAATTATCGATGTTTCTATTTACGGACAAGTACTGCATGTGTCCTGCTAGACCGAAATTTTGTTTTTTTCCGGGATTTGAACATTGGACCACATTTAACGCTATGCTACAACACGTTCAGATATTAACCTTCTGTGACAGTCAAATCATAGGCGTGTATACTACAAGCAAATAAATAATATTGTATTTTATATTCAAAACATAATTTTCATATTATAAATACAATACACCTAAGTAGTCACGTCTCAAGAATTGTTCATAAAATAATTTAATTGTTCCAGATGTAAACATCGGGTGCGGTGCTACAATAACATGACAATAAGAAGACAATACGTAGAATAGCTTTTTACTCATAATATTTGCTATGCACACAAAAGGGGAGACAATAAAATTTTAATTCCACGAGGAGTGTAATGGTATAACGGACGAAATGTGAGATCGAGCTGGTTGAAAATCAAATGTCTGTTGACATTATGGCTGCGGAAGCACTGAGGCGAACTCGAACCGTTTCCATGGAAACCGGAGGGCTCCCGCTGGTATCTACGTTTGCACTTCTCACAATAGTGGCTGGTAAGAACTTTAAAATTAAAATTCACGTCCTTTTAGAGCTATTGGACTGGCTGAGGAATATATATACTTGATTCGTTTACCTAAGGGTCGTGTTATAATAAGTAAGGTTACACAGTATTATACGTTGCTTAAAATTATTTTACTGGTTTATTACGCTAAACGTTTTACTTACATACTTATGTTTAGGTTATAATTGACTAAGAACGGTCTCGCCGTTACACGTATTACATAATCACTAAAGCTTGATTGATAATTTATATTATACTGAACTTACGAGTATTTCAAATAATCAATGAAGTTTAGTCAAAATTTAACAAATGCGCTGCACTTAGCTTAAAGCAACACCGAAAATATTTGAACATTCAACAAGCCACAATGTTGAAGTCGACGTTAGGCTACGTCTAAACGTAACACGGCAAAGCCGATGAAAGGCTTAATATCCTGTCCAGTGCCTCTTTACGCCTCTTTGAAAACATTAATTTTCTCTTCCTGCCACCGAATAAATTAATGCGAGTGCCACTAAATCTTCCCCCGAAAGTCACCGGCCAATGTTCATTTTCAACGTTCGCCGCGTCTTTTACAAATTGTGCTTTAATTTAAAAATGACGGTGGCAATTTTATTCTCAATCTTTTAAACGATACTTTTTGTTATCGTTATATTTTAATTAGAGTAATTAAATGTTGGATTCAGGGCGCGGTGAAATATTTAGTTCATTCTTGCGCCTTTTGTGGCTAGGGCTGCTCTTTGAAATATTGAGTTACTTTACAAAGAAAAAGCTTTTTACAAATTAATGGGACTCGAATCTACGGTCCAGCGAAAAAGTAGTTCTACGAATTTAGTTACCATGTGTCATCGAAAAACATGAAAATCGCTCAAATAGTACGTCGCTCTTATGTAAACAATAATATGTCACAAGTAAAATTACGTCGACTGCGCATCTCGTTTAGATTCTATAGGCTGGTGTATTTCATTTACCACCAAGCCAATGCCATGCAGTCTCCCCGTGACCACGGCTGCTGCAAAGCATCCGAAACGTCGGGCCGAAGTTCAAAGTCATTTCCAAATAAGTTTAACTAATATATCGCGTTTTAAACCGTTAAAGTGTTTTATTTAAATGTGTACTACTCGCGTAAACTATAGACAGTATTTAGCCTGTGTCTCGACAAATTTCTTTCATTTTTTAAATATTCAAGATAAATTTCGTAAAAACACAACACATCTCGTATTTGCATAGTAAACAAAGTTCCGTCTGGCACAATAAAACCAACCGCATACATGATCGAACAAATTGTTGCGCTTTAATGACTGTCTACCGAATGCAGTTTAGAGGGAACTCCGACCCAGATTCCCTCACGTTGGCTCGACGTTAGGATCCCGCACAGAGCGTTGCCTTAGCAGATTCCAAGTTTAATTGAAAACACTCTAAACAACCTTTCTTTTAATTGCATTAAGCTTTCAACGTTTCTGAACCCCCGCGAGGAATGCGCGTTATTTCATTATGCGAAATTATTAACTCATGTTGTCCTTTTAAATTGTCAACTAAGAATGTACTGTGCACTATGTAAAACTTTATATGGCGTTTGTAGTTTTGACGCATTTGCTGCGCTCCTTTACGCTCTTCGCCAAAATATATAAATATTATGACTTGTTACCAAAGCCATCATTCTTACGTTAATCTTAGGAGATAGACATATATATTTTTTCCATTCGAACTAATATTTCCTGATATTAAAACGTTTGAACAAACGAATTCTTTGGCCTAATAATATTAGTAAAAATTTAGTATTATTATTTTCTATTGGGGACACCGATAGAAGGCAGGGTAACCGTTTCCCATTACCCCTTACGGAGGACATTGGTTTATGCTAATCCCCTAAAACCTTCCATTCTCTTTGCAAATACTTTTTATCTATTTTAGCTTCAATTCTGTAATATCATTTTCAAATAAATCAATTTACTTTAAGCAACAACAGTACTGGCTAGTTCTGTATCCACCAAAATTTAAAATTTACCTTTGTTTGAAGTTGCAGTTGATTTTTCATAAGTCTTATATAACTATCAAAAAGTTGAACAGATAGTATTTTTAACTTGTTCATTTATTTCTCCACGAGTAAACGAACGCTCTAAGTGACCCGTAAAAGTAAGTACGATTAAATACTGTCTATAGTTTACGCGAGTAGTACACATTTAAATAAAACACTTTAACTGCAGCCGTGGTCTCCCCGTGACCACGGCTGCTGCAAAGCATCCGAAACGTCGGGCCGAAGTTAAAAATAATTTTCAAATAAGTTTAACTAATATATCGCGTTTTAAACCGTTAAAGTGTTTTATTTAAATAAGTACGATTAGTGAATCGTTGCATTATCTGTATGGTAATTGCGAGTGCGTGGTGAATTTAATGCAATTCTATCAGAATGTAATTATAGACGTCGATGGGCACAAAATACTGAATAATTGAAATACGAAATCGAATGGAACTCCAATCAGGTACGAAATGCTTATAAGTGATAATATGTTTTGATTAAATCGCGTTATTTCTGGTGCGAAATATTAGCGGGGAATGTAATGTTAGTTAATCTGTTAATTAATATTAAGAGGTACTTACCACAGATGATTAATTTATTTAAAAAGTAATACTATGTGAGTGACTTAAAAAAATTTAACGCGTTTCATATATGAGGCTGATAGAGGCATAGTGGGCTAATAACAAAAAACATGATTTTCCATAAGGAGGAAAATAAAAATGCGCAATTAAGTTAGGCGAAAATGAATTATTTTGTTGTGTAAGAATGATGTTAACAATTATCGCTCACTGTGCTCATGTAGATTAACATTTTTAGAAGAAAATATAAATAAGTCATAAAATTGCAGTTAGTCTGCCTCTAGCGGTGTTATATTATGTAAAAAATTTAAACTTCGTAATTATCTTTTCGTTTATCTACAACACTTTTAACAGTTCTAAACGGAAAATATATAAGAAAAATTAATTTTAAGCCGTGGTCAAGAGGGTTTAATGTTTCAAATGTCTTTTAATAAAAAGCCCTTATTTAAAAGTACTTTTAAAAAGTACTTGAGTAAGATTGACGTAAGCCTTACTAGATACTTACTTGGTATTAAGATAAACGGTTTACAGTTAAAGTTAACAGTGACTAGCCGCACAGTTATTAATTTTCATTCGCTCTTGTGAAGCTACATGAAAAAACGTAACGTGACATTTTTGACAGAAGATAGATTTAATGCCATTTATCGTTTGACGGTATACGATTTATCTGTGTTTTGTTTCTATCTGTATGACTCTAGAGTATCGTCGCGTTTATCGGCTATTTATAATGTTCATACTCGATTTTTATATTAAAATAATTCATTTATATTCAAGATACATCAACAAACTACATAAACGTTTTTATCTTAAATTATTTTTGTACTTAAAAGCGACGCTTAGAATAATAAATACAAATTTTAATATTATATATTGACTTATACTTAATACAACCCAGAATAATAAATTAAACAAAAGTAACTAATAGTTTTAAAATCGAAAATTAATTGAAAAATATTTCGACTCCGACAGCAACTTGAACCGGCATCGTCAGCGTTCCGTGCTGTTGCTCTACCAATTGAGCTACCGAGTCTTACAACTCATCGTCGAATTTTTTCAACCTAACTAATAGTTTTCAACTGTTGAAAGTGATTTATTTAATTATGTGTAACTCTCTCGTAAAACAGGTATAATAAGTGAGTATATTATATTTTAAATGACGAAAGAGTATTTGGTAAGAATCTAAATATTTGGTAATCTTTTGTGAACATAACTTAGTTTTAAATGCATTTAATTCTACTCTAGATATGTCTTTTCCAGTAAACTGTACTCCAAGAGAACAGTGAAACAGACGCAATAAGATTTAGTTTTAAATACTTTAATATTATCGGCTCTACTAAATCTTAGTTCAGTACAATCAGAGGCGGGACAGTCGCTCGGTCGGTCTGGAATTTGTGTCAGAGTAGCACATTGTAGGAATAACTGGCAGATAGTACATTAGCTCGGTTCCCAAGTTCTATAACTTGCAAACGAGACTGTTATACCCAGTACTTTTAATAGCCCGTGAATAACAAGCTTGGAGTCGCTTCAATAATGTTTTATTAGTCTTCTTCAAACACAATGCAAGTTCGCCTTCTAGATTTGTGCTTATAAAATTCAATACTTACAAAATGGATACATATTATAGATAGAATGAATAGGAATTTATAAAAATAATTTTTGACTCTTTACAATTAATAAAGCGTATAGATGCAAAATAAATGTTTTTATCATTTTAATATAAAATGCATTTTCTAAATTAAATTAAGACAAATGTAAATATAGAATATTGACCACGGCTGTTGCTAGTGGTCAAAGCTTCGCAATTGTTTTTTACCACGTTGATATTCTTTTTCGTCTTTAATGGCCATACACTTTTGTTCTGGGTCGGAAGAATAGAAGATGAAAGAAGAAATCTTAGTCTCCATATTCTCAAAAAGATGACTGAAAAGATGTCTGTTTCTTTTTTTTTAAATACCGATTGTGTAGATGAGTGTGAGGATGTATTAATGTTTTGTTAGTGGTACAAATAAAACACTATTTAAACAGTTTAAAACGCAATGTCATTTAAAGGAATATTAACTATGACCCGACTTTTATGACGCTTTGGTTCATAGTCAATTACATTTAAACACATAAGTATCATCGGGTCGTTTTGCAAATGATTTAATATATCCCGGGGTTTGCAACAGTTTAAAATATTATATTTAAATACCGAGGCATTTTTAAATAAAAACTTTAACGGTTTAAAAGGATATATATTAGTTAAACTTATATGAAAATTATATTGGCTACGGCGCGACGTTTCGGACGCTTTGCAGCAGCCGTGGTGACGGGGAGACACTACATAAGTTTAACTAATATATATTGCGTTTTAAACCGTTAAAGTGTTTTATTTAAATGTGTACTACTCGCGTAAACTACAGACAGTATTTACCGATGCATTATTTAAAATAGACCCGGAAACTAGCATATCACCGTCAATTGTGGCACCCGGAAAAACACATTGTAATCAATTTTCGGGCGATTTAACGCGTGTAATGATAGAAGGGAAATAAACGTAGTTGCATAGGGATTTATTGATGCGGGCAGAATAATGACGAGGCGGTTTCGTATCCTACTAATTTGACGTAACAGATAAAGCGTTCAACGGACGTCATTTTCACCACATATCTTTGTTTTCGATGAATGGATGTTAAAATAACTCGGCTGTTTTGTTAAGCCGATAGTGTTTGCTTTATTTAAATCAAAGCATCATTTAAATAAAACACTTTAAGGGCTTAAAACGCAATATATGTTAATTAAACTTATTTGGGAATTATTTTAACGGTCATGGCCGGACGTTTCGGATGCTTTGCAGCGGCCTTGGTCACGGCCGTTTTAAACCGTTAAAACGTATATTCAAATGTATACTCGCGTAAACTAGTGACGGTGTTTGAAGCGTAATTTTAAAAGTCAATGTGATTACATAATTGTAGCAAAAAAAACGTTGAAAGTACTGTACTGTCTGTAAGTAAATACTGTCTATAGTTTACGCGAGTAGTGCACATTTAAATAAAAAACTTTAACGGTTTAAAATGCGATATATAAGTTAAACTTATTATGGCTCACCACGGCTGCTGCAAGCTGAAACGGGCCGGGGTTAAAATTTTTTTAGAATAGGAAGTATACTAAGTAACTTTCAAGTCTGTAAGTAGTTTACGCGTGTACACTAATGAAAATGGGCTAAGATCCTTTATATTAAACCATTTCGCTTTATTTGACGTGTTGAGAGATTTTTTTTAATTTAAAATTTTTTTCTTTAATTTTTTTTTTTTTTTTTTTTCTTTTTTTTTTTTTTTGGGGTTTTTTTTTTTTTTTTTTTTTTTTTTTTTTTTTTTTTTTTTTTTTTTTTTTTTTTTTTTTTATATGAAACCTGAAACCTATATTTTACCAGCTATTGACGAGTTCGTTGGTTTTAGCAATGGCAACCCAAAGATCCTCTACTAGTTCCAACATGTTTCTAATAATTTTATAAATTTTCTGAAATGTCGCTTTTGCCTTGAAATGTTAGGAGATCTAAATTCCGTCCGGGCCACGAATCACCGACCTCAGGCGAAAAAGCCGTGTATTGCGTTTTTGTTTAGTCTGTGGATATGAAAAGCCAAAGCATATACAGATAATCTTGTTTAGATGTTACATGGCTTGGCTATTTCACCTTCCATGGAGTTAACTCCTTCTTTGTCTTTCTTTCTCTATCATAAAAGGCTTGTTTTATATTCAGACATACAATATTTATTCAGGTAGCATAAATAAAAACATCCATTAAACCCCAGTGTAAAAGTAATAAGGTCGCTACCCAAAAAACACCGAATTAGAATCCTGCATAAGTCGAATTGTCCGAAAATATTCGTTCGTCCGAAATTCAGCTACGAAGCCATTAATCGTTTTGATGTCACAGTATGGGACATTTAGTGTGACCCTTTTTAGGCGCAACCTTCTCGATTCTCGTCCCTAATCACAGAATGCTGAAAACCGACGAGCGAAGGCCAAAACCCAATAATTATGAGTAACGCCTGACCGCATTTAAATGGCAGACACTAATTGCTATCAGTTCATTGTAAGGGACAGCGCCCTACATTTTGGATAACGTAATAACATCTATACTAATATATAACGCTGAAGAGTTGGTTTGTTTGAACGTGCTAATCTCAGAAACTATTCAGGTTAGAGTTATTATTTATGTGTTGGTTGGCATTTATCGAGGAAGGCTATAAAGCAACGCGCTGTGCCTAACGGGAGCGAATAAACAGCGGGAAATGTGGAAAAAACACCTCTGTGAGTTTCCAATGTGTACGCTGCGAAAAATGTTTAAGATACTTAGAAATATGTATAAAAGAATGATTCCTCTTTAAATGATCTAAAAAAAATGTCCGCGACTATCTTTTAAGATCAACTTGCAAGAACGACGGGACGACGGGGACGCGTCGTGGGTAAAAGTTTAAATTTATTAAATGAAAAGGAGATTTAAAAAAACAAATTTGGATGCCCAAAACAACTATACTACGCGGACGAAGTCGCTGACACAGCTAGTATTATATAGAACGCGTATGTATCGAAATGTAAATTAGATAGATAATTGCGTGATGTATACGGACCAATAATAATTGTTTGCAATCGGTGTGTTGATTTTGATGCCTATTTAATATGCGGTAGCTGTGAGTGCGTGTTAATATTGACTTAATTATAGTCTACACTCTCTACATTATGCTTACACAACAAATTTCAGATTTAGTAAAAATATATAATTTGGGTGTCAGTAGTATTCATAGTTCTAATAAATTGTAATAATAACTACAATCGGACAGCACATGGTAGCGATAAATTTGTTATCCATCTTTTTTATTCTTTTACTTAAATTACAACTGTTTCTTTTTACAACGGTGTTTAATGCTTTATAGACGAAGTAATAATTATACATACTCATTGTTTCCACTCGAGTCTAAAATTATTAATTTTTAATATTCACTTTCTATTATATTTTATAAATGCATAGAATTTTAATGACTTTGGCAGCTGTGTAAACGACACGTATTGTCAAAGTCTGCAATTTGGTAATTTTCCTACTGCTGTTTGCTGAATCCCAAAACAATTACAAAAGTTGATTTCACCTGTAATTTCCTTGTTGATATTTTGCCACGTAATGGAACCGATTTTAATTACATTGATTATTTAAAATTGGTTGTTTATTTTGTTTAATATATTTATTCGTTTATTGCCAACATTGCAAAACTCTTCATTATTGTAACTTATGTTAAATCTGTATTTACGAATATTTTGAATCTGTGTCTTTGAATTTCGAATTTTGGTATTATCTGTGCACCACACAAGTTTTGGCGGGATAGTGCTATCTGTGCTAATAATAAGTTATTGTGTTTCATGTTAGTTTATACAACCATTATTAAAACCCAATAGCAAAACAGACAGTGAAAATTGTAATCGCTTTAAGTAAAGAAGAATTAATTAAAGCTCATAATTCTCGAATAGTTATACAAAAGCATGGTGCAGCTGTACAGTCGCGTTCACAAAACAGTTGCAATTGAACACATTAATAGTGGGTTTATTGCAAAGCGCAGTCGTGATATTAAAGTGATAACTTAGGGTGTATTGCAGGTCAGCTGCAAGGCCCGGGATACAGTGAACAGGAGCCGGAGTTTCTGGCGCCGCTCGAGAATATTACTGTTGCGTTGGGCAGAGATGTACACTTTACATGTACTGTCAATCACCTCGGGAGCTACAAGGTCGGTTACTATTTTTACACTATATTAAATGTTATTTTATATTTGGTACATACTTCTTTGTTTTGAGCATACTCATTTAACTAATGTATAAAATTCTCCTCTTGGAGTGTTTATGTGCATCCTCCTCGAAAACGGCTGAACTGATTTTAATAAAAATTTGTGTATACAATTGTGAAGGTTTGTTAACACTACACTACATTTACTATTATGAAAATAAAATAAATTATACTTAATACTATATATTCTATTTAAAATTTATTTCGATTCGTCAATTTTTTTTTGTTTGTTTGTCGTGATTCTACAGTGTTCAAAAGAACAACATAACTGAGAAGAACACCCAAGAAACTCCTTCAGGCTTTTTTTTGTATTAAATAAAAGTACGTTTTAATATAAAATACGTCTGGTAAGCCTGGAAATAAAATGGTGGTAGAAATATAAAATGAAAGAACTGTAAATTAAGTCTAAAATATATATGGCTGCTGATACTTCGCTTTCTATTTAATAATTAGGCTGAAATGTTTAGCAACTTCGTAAAAGTATAGACATCCTGTTTACGTATACAGAACTTTTATATACATGATAGGCCACAGCCACTTTCCAACTTATAACAGGCTCAATGGCTTTGTCCACGAGTGCATACAATATCAATACATCACAAACAGTAAATATTGGCCTGCAAATATCTATATCACCTGTGTGATATAGAATATTCAATACTTTTCTTTCAAAATAAATTTAGTGAGGTAAAACAATATTTTCTTGGACATACCTACTATTACAAAGTAAGATAGTAAAAACAACACAGCAATTGAATATTAATGTTTTAAACAGTGAAATTTTCTTTCTAAACATATTTTTGAGTCCGTTTCACAGATCGATTTTATTCATAGGCAAGTAGTTGATCACACTTCTGTGCCCTGCTGGACCGAAACAATTCGTTGTTTCTTCGCTATTCGAAGCCTTAACGCAATGCTATGTATTACATTTAACCATTTATCTACAAAGACGGCGATACTATTACTATCTTCAATCTTGGTTTAATTGCGAGAGGTTCTAGGGTCGAAAGCCGGGTTGCCATAAAAAAGATTTGAATTTTAAGGATATATAAGAAGAAATAGGATTCACTCTATATAGTGCTTTCTAAATAAATCGAAAACTTTTCTTCCACGTTAAAGAACATCAAAAATTACTTTTATCCGGGACTTGAACCCCTGATTTTTGGTTGTAGTTCTGTATAGGTTTTTGTTTACCAAGTGACAATTAATTACAGCGCTATAGTGTGCTCTGTTTGTAGGTGGCGTGGATAAAATCAGACACAAAGACCATCCTAGCGATTCACACTCATATGGTGAACATCAATCCTCGGCTGTCAGTCACACACAACGGGCACAATACTTGGAAGCTCTACATTAGCAACGTCGAGCCCAAAGACTCGGGGACGTACATGTGTCAGATCAACACGGACCCGATGAAGAGTCAGGTATAGTAAATATAGAAGTAATTTGATAAATAAATAGATTAACACAAGACTCGAGCCCACGACTGTCAATTATATGAAGCACTAGCTGACCTGGCAAACGTTCTTTCAACATTTGAATTATTTCGACCTAATTTGATTACCATATAAACTGTTTTTGCCATTTAATCTTAGAAGATAGTATACGTCACCGGTTTTATATTTTTAGATCATTTAAAGAACAATTATTATTTTACAAATTCTTTTTTTGTATCTGGAACCATTTTCACTGCGAACCTAGAGGAATCCCTCAAAGATGAATATTTTTCCCCGCCTTTACATATATCGTATTGTTACTTCTCGGTCCTTGTTCGTCCCTGAAGTATAGCCTTGTTACTCTGCGGCATGAATTTTTCGTTTTGAACCAGTAGTGAGCTATCGTGTTTAAACAAACAAAAGACTTTTAGTTTATAATATTAGTAGATATACGAATTTGGCGTAAAAATCTGTTTTAAAATTTAATAAGTTAAAATAAAAAAGACGTGACTAAGCAATGTTTAAAAAAAAAACATTTTTTTCATTTAATTGTAATGAATAGGTAAAAATGTTATTGTTTTTAATTACATCGATTTTCCACTAGCACATAAATATATTTAGCTTTGCATGTGACTAACTAAAATAAAATAAAGAAATAGTTACTTTAGGCCGTAGACTAAAAACTTCTGAGAGCTTGAAAGCTTTTTCTTATTACAAGGTAGAACTTGAGAGAGCCTTTTGTATATTCTATCTCTGTGCTAATGCAATTGTTCGATGTCGAGGAATCAAGGAATGGTCTGGCTACTTGCGATGATTGTGGACACTTTAAGTAAAAAGAAATTAAGGAAGAGTTGGATTTCTAAGTAATAAACGATACTTTTTAATGATAAAGATAGACAGATAAGCTGTGGGGATCACTTGAAGTAGGGGTAGGTGAAATATTCCAGCTATATAACATCACACAAGATGCGCTGTCGACCCTTTTTTGGCTTTGGATATTCGGTAATCGAAAACTCAATTAATGTTCATGACTATAGGTTTGTGAACATTGGCTCGTGATTCGGACGGAATTTCGTTATTTCTATCACCCGTTTAATATCTACATTTGCAGAGTCCAACATGATTCAGAAAAATTATAAACATATTCACGGTGGGGATCAAACCCACGACCCGTCGATTAATAAATTGTTACCATTAGACCAAGGAACCCGTCAGCAATCTTTAACATGTTATTTCACATTTAATTTAATTTACCTAAATGTATATAACACTCGTAAATATCTGCTGTTATTTTAGTTTATAGCGTCTTAATCGTTATAATATTGGTAATTGATTATCTTTAGTTTGCGTTAAAGCCTTTTAAATTACTTCAAAGTTATATAGTGGCTCAGACTTGGCAAACAAATAAGCTGATCATTCTAAGAAAGTTTGCTATGATCTGCTATGTTTTTAAAAGTATCCAGATGATTTAGACACGAACTAATTTAATGTTACGCGAAAGTTTTTTTGTGGATATTGTAATTTTTTTAAGCAATGGGTATATATGCTTCTGTATCTGTGGCAAATACGATTCATTTTGGGACGGTTTTTAGTAAAAGTACCGTCACATTTAAATAGTGACAAAAAACAAGCTCGTTGGTCTAATAGTAGCAATGTACGTCTAATGATTAGGACGTGGGTTCGATACCCACCTAATGCCTAATTTTTTATCTTATTTTTTTTTAAACTTGCTGTACTTCGTCTGTAAATCTGGATATTAAATGGGTGGTAGGAATATAGAAATTCCGTCCGGGTCACGAACTACCGTCACAGATGAAAAAGCTGTGAAGCTTAATCACGTTTCGGTTTTTCTTTGTGGATTTCCGAATATCCAAAGCGACAGGTCGACAGCGAGTCTTGATTAGATGCTATAGGCTGGGGTATATCACCTTCCATCAAAACCCCATGCCATGTCTGTTGTACTCTTCTGAAAAAAAACACAATAGTATAAATTTAACACAAGAGAATCGAACCAGCTACGGAATAATCCAATTTTGTTCCAATTGAAAACTCGTAATCTTTACAGATAAGCAAATACTTTGAATAATAATCCAATTATTCGTTCTCAGTCTAAAAGTTATAACAATAAGGCACACCTCACTGCATCTGGGGAGCTAATCATATTAAAATTTATGCAATATAATCAACGTTGCTTTACATTTTTAAAAGCAATTACTTTTTATTGATGTAACAATATTAAAAGAATGTTCATGTAAAAATTAAAATTGAACCGCATTCGTCTTGTTGGCTTACAAAAAACATTATATATTTAAGATATGTATGCGGTATATATTATGAATAGTTTGTATAATTCTCTGTGAATATGTTAAATTTACAAGAATAAGCTTCTAGCCATATAAAAGAACAAATTATAGTTAAATAAGAGTACGCCCTTTACGTCGTATAAAAATCATTAACATGTTAAGATGGAGCTTTTTTTAACACAAAATTCTCTGTCTAACATAAAAAAAACTTGTTTTGGCAGCAGTTATGGTCATAATGGACTTATATTACAGACAAATAATTGTATTCAACTATATAATAAATAAACTATGCCTTTAATGAATGATTTGATTAACGAAATAAACTTATTTTCCAACGCTAATATTTAATTAGATATTGAACGTATTTCAAAGCCATCGATGAATTCTCCTATTCACAAGATATGTTGTGGAGGCAAAAGTTACGTTTTTATAAATGTCATGCTAAATTTCAAGCATCAAAAAGTTTCACATGATGCTTTCGTGCAGAACAGTACTTTGATATCACTTTACGTGTGGAAGTACAAAGAAACGTGCATTTTGTGAGACTTGTTATTTAGAAATTCCGAATGTGGGGCAAAAATGAATTGTGAGCCTTGAAAAAATAATTTTTACATTTTCATTTTACTGCGCGCTCGCAAAGTATTTTACCTAATGTTGGGCTGATACGCGTAGATTATGTACTGAGTTTTTTCTACGGAAACGTTACAAAGACATATATATTACTAAAGTTTGACCTTAATATTATCAATAAATCGAATATTGTTGTGGTTTCAACTAGGTCAAAAATGAATGCAGAACCATTAATAATTAGGTCACATATTAATATTTTAATGTAAGTAACACGTACTAGAGATTTACAAAGGAGATTAAAACTTGGATTTGTTTCATTCAAATAAAGCGACTACACTTGAAGAAGTTTTTGAACTTAAAGTTTAAAAGTTGTTTTCAGTGTTTCGCACAGTAAGCAGTCTTAAGTTGATTAAGAAATTAAGGCAGGTAATTCTATTAATTTTCTAATAAACAAATTTATATTTCGAGAGCTTTACCTAATTATGACTAGTTACTAACTAAAAGGTGTTTGTTGGCATTTTGCTGTCGGAGTATTAGACAAAGAAATTATATAAAAAAGGCTTTCAAAGAGACTTATTCGGATAAATCTCAATTACGAACAAAAGACGATCCTCGAATTACAAAGACGTGGCAATAAACAGTGTGACCTAGGAGCGTTCCCGAGTGACCTCGCGGAGACGGCTTGACATTTATTAAGTTATTTACCTTTGCGGTGTAACATTCTGACAATAGCACGGTGCGGGTCGCTAGCGGAATTTTGAGAGGGAATGCAAGCATTTGCTAAGGGGAGGAATGTGACCACGACATCTTCATACGAAAGTTTCGAGCTGCCTGCGTGGCTGTAACGTGCTCTCGTTTGTGGGAACGACGCGATTAACGTACGTGTTTCGCCGTTCGTTTTAATGTGGGAAGGCTTGTATTGGCACGTTTGCCGCGCCGCTAACTCTTGCAATTATATCTCCAAAAGTTTAACTGGGTATACTTATGTTTTCCTTTGTGCGGTATCTTTTTTTTTTCTCTTTGAATTTTTTTATTATACTTACTATCATATGTTATATGTATAGTTACAGCATTAGCATCCACTTAATACCTTTTTTTAGTATGTGTATAGTGAATTTAAACACGAGAATTACTTAAAATAAATACATTTAAATAAAAACACTTTGAACGGTTTAGACGTCGAAATTGAGTTCGAAGTTAGTAATATATTTGCAATACATACAACTACGGCTCGACGTTTCGCGTGCTTTGCAGCTGTGGGCACGGGGGAGAAATAATAATTGTAAAAACTTATAAAACATATTTTGGGTTTTTATACGTTTAAAATATGGTTTAGATGTACTCCTAGTATAAACAACAGACAATATTTAGTAGTTTTTACTAAAACGTTTATTTAACAACGTTGATCAATCTTTACCCACAAATGTTTCTTTGTACAATTACTGTGTTAAACGTTGGCATTCCATTTATTGAGAAGACCGTCCGTCTTTTTCACGCGCACCATATTTGGTTAGGTTAACAAGGGGGGCGCCGAAAAAAAGGCCTTTTTATATTTGCCCTCGCGGGCTCGCAACCAACATTTGTTAAGTGTAAAAGCAAATTTGAGAGTACCCGCACAATTACACAAGTATTCGGAGTAAAAAGATGTTTGGAAAGCGGAAACTTGATTGTGTAAATGCTATTTCCTTTTTTAAATAACTTATGCTACCGACTCCACTCGCGGAACGAGCAGGTTTTTGTAAAGGAGAAAGAACACAATTAACATTCTTTCAGTGCTAGCGAAAATTGTTTGAAAAGTTTTTATTTGCCAAACAAAAGCGGGATACGATGTTTCAATTCGTTTATTAACTTGATTCTTTTGGGAGAGTACGAGATAAGTACCTACGAATTAACAAGAGATCGTTACAAAGAAATTTAGATAAATAGAGGGCCAGACGTTTAGAGAATATAAAATTCAATGGTTAGATAAATAAATGATCGTTTCACAATCGTCTCCATGACTTAGATAGAATGCAAGAAGCATTGCAATAATTACGGGTTTGAATTTTGGGAAAACATGATGTTTTGATTTATTTGAGCATACACTTCCAATATTTGTCTGAATTATTTTGATGA